AGACAAGACCGTCATCCTTGACTACACAGCAGAACCAAGCTCCTAGGTCCCAAACGCCTCCCTTTCGCCACTCACGACAAGTGTGAAACGTAGCACTTGTGAGCGCCCACCACACCGCTGCGTTGTGCCGGAATGACAGCATTCCGCGCATGCTACTCGACACCATGTTCGATCCGCATTGAGCTACTCTGCATGCTGCTCACGGCTCACATTGCTGAGGGTGCCACCAGGCGCCCAGCGTGGCACTGATGTGGATAGTGAAAGCTTGCCATTGCAGTTGCCGCTACCTGCTCGCTGTTTGCGCCACAATCATCTACTTTTTGCCCTTCTTCTTCTTCTTCTTCCCACCGCCACCACCTCCACCGCTGCCCCCACCGCTCTGAGTGCCAGTCTGCGCCGTTACAGCGCCTGAGGACGATCCTACATGCTCTGCTACCGCGATAGGCGCTGCATCTTGACTGGTGGCGCCCGGTTGCGCCTCCGACAGCATTGGTTTGGGTGCTCCGGCAAACTGTGCGATGAGCTCGTGATTCAAGGCTTGAAAGCGGTTGAGGATGATGGAGCTTCGTGTTCGAAATTTGATCGTCTAGCAAGTACATGGGCGAATGTGAGACCTTTCTCTCGATCCAACGCTAGTGTTCATCGCTGAGCAGACTGCACACTCACAGAGAAATCATCCGTGATCTTGAGAATGAGCGACTGCGTGGCTGGGTGCGCTTTGATCAAGTAGCGGGTCTTTCAAGTCACGGGATAGGACGCTATCAGCATTTGATGGGAGAGCGGCAGCACCACGCTAGATCCGGTGTAGTTGCGTTTGGCCAGCCGACATCGATGTCTTGAGAGAGGCTCCATTTCCAGCCAACGCCGTCCCCAACTTCCCAACAGCACGCTGATCGAAGTGCTCGCAAATCTGACAAGTCCACTCACCCGCTCGGGCTGTGCTTTCTGAATATCTATCGCGGCCGCGTGAAATGCGACCCAAGATTTGATGTACACCATCCCACAAGTGAGGACGAAAGCGTCCTCTTTAGATGGGTCTGCTCTGGGAGAGAGTTGTATGCGGCTGTAGAAGAGTTTGGAGCGCCTCGCTTTGATGCTCAGCCCTGTCGCCTGGTTGTTGATGGCCCTTAGATAGTATGGCTCAGAGCGAAGCAAGGTTGACGGTGCGCTTCGGGTTGAGCAGCAAATGATACCAGACCTCCTCGCTGAACCGCAAAAGGCAGATGCACACTAAGCAGACGAGGCACTGCACCTAGACTCTTCGTTAGGTCTGGCTCTTACCTGGCGCACGTCGTGGGTGGTTCGCACATTTGAGAATCGTGATCGTGCTGTCCACAATCGTGAATCATGAGTCTGTCGGCTCTCGAAGTCGTACCGCAAGTCCGGTCATCCAGATGCTCGCAGCGGGGAGGCGTTGGAAGTTAGTCACGAGCAGCGTGTCTATACGTGACTCGGGTCAAGGTCACGTGGTCCTTCAAGAGCAGAAATCAAGAGCATAACCGCGTGCCTATCA